TGATGTCTAATCTGAATTTACCCTCTGCCAGCTTGTGACTGTTATTTCTAGTCACTCCTGGTAGTGCTCAGGGGAACAGGGACTCCCCCAATGCCTGCTGGTCCCCCCTGACTAGTTTGTAACAGGCCACTAGATCCCCCCTCAGCCTTCTCTTGTGGAGGCTGAACAGGTTCAGGTCCCATAGCCTCTCCTCATAGGGCCTGCCCTGCTGGCCCCGATCATGCGAGTGGCCCTTCTCTGGACCCTCTCCATGTTGTCCACATCCCTCTTGAAGTGCGGCGCCCAGAACTGGACGCAGTACTCCAGCTGCGGCCTGACCAGCGCCGCATAGAGAGGGAAAATCTCTTGTGAATCTCTTACCCAGCTGCCCAGTGGGCAAGTTTCAACAGAAAAAGAGGGCCCACATCCAGCTTAGCCCAACACATAACCTAGTGTTTAGGACACTCTTCTAAGCACTGGGAGATGTGGGTTTGATTCCCTTTGAAGTGGGGAGCTTGGAAGCCAGATGTCCCACTTTTAGAGCAAGTGCACCTACTGGTAAAGGGTGGGCTCCCCTATATGACCTGGATGCTGACATGATGGAAGCACCTCCCTTGAGGCCCTTGGTCAGCTATCTAAGGGGATGGAGTAGGAATTTAGACCCACTCCTCTCCTTAGCATTCCTATTGGCTAGTGGTAGGCCTTCTGGTAGTGACTGGGCAATATGGATGACACTTGGGTCTCCCCATGCATTACAATGGAAGCCAGAGCACTTAATCTTCTCAATTAGGTCACCCTCCCAGGCAAGGCACCCAGATTTTAGTCATTGCAAGGAGGTACCTTGTAGGTCAATTAGGATGTGGCCTCTGCCTGCTCAGATGCTGGGACTATGCACATGTGCAGAAACTTAGTTTTAGTCATCTAGGACAGTGATTTTCAACCGGTGGGACGCGAAGGTCGTGTAGGCAGGACTTCAACTCATTGCCCAATTGAAAAAAATCAAAGTTGTTTGCACTTCAAATAGGTGAATCAACAGATATCTCGAACAGTGCAATTTTGACAGGATTTGTTTGATATGTCAATGAACAGAAGGTGCTTAAGGTTGTTTTTATGGTTTGGGATATGCCCACACAAAGAACAGGTTCAGAGATATTCCGCGTTATTGATGAGTATTTTTCAATGAACAGCCTAGATTGGAAATGCGTTGTTAGTCTTTGTACTGATGGCGCTGCTGCAATGACAGGTGTGCAGTCCGGGGTCACTGCAAGAATTCACAAAGTTGCAAAAGCTGATTTGCAGGTTACACACTGTATGATCCATCGCGAAATGCTTGCAAGCAAAGAAATGGTCCCTAAACTGTCTGATGTGTTGTCTGATTGCATAAAAGTAGTAAATCTTATTAAAGACAATGCACTGAAGATCCAAATCTTCAACGTACTTTGCTGCAAACCTTTCGCTGCATACCGAAATGAGATGGTTGTCATGTGGCAAAGTGTTGTTCTGAGTTTCAGACTGAGAGGGGAAATTAAGTATTTCTTGGTTCAAAAGAAATCTAAACTAACAGAGTTGTTCGACAATACCGATTGGATTTCAAAATTGGCATACATGGCAGACATATTTGGGCTCCTAAATGAACTGAATTGGCATGAATTGACATGCTTGCCAATGAAACAACCACAGGCTTCTCACTAATGACTAAATTATTATCTCATTTCTGCTAATAGATTTTTTTGTTGTTTTTTACAATTATAGCAATAAAACATTCTCAACAAAATTATTGCAGTTTTTAATGTTTAATGTCCTCAAAAATTCCATCAATGATTAATATAATACTAAAATGCATGTAAAAATACAGTTCTTGGGAAAAGTGGGGTTTTGTTTTTATCATGGTGGGACCAAGGTTTTTTGACAAAATGGTTGGTGGGACATAAGGTGCAAAAGGTTGAGGACCACTGATCTAGGAAGCTTTGCAGTCTAAAACAGGGCTGTCCAGCTGGTAGCCTGTGGGCCACATGGATGTTGGAGGAGCAGGCCTTCTCATGCTTTAACTCCAATATCTGGGTGATTAGGACACACCCTAGAAATATGGGGACCCATGTTCTAGACTCTTGTTGCCTAGAGCAATGGTCTCCAAAGTGAGGTGCACGCACCACAGGGGGTGCGCAAGACAATCCATTGGGGTGCAGGAAGAAAATATTAGAACTTCTATTTATATTTATATTGATATAAATATACATATATTGGGGGTGCATGCTCAAAAAAGTTTTACTGATAGGGGTGCGCAAATATAAATATACATATATTGGGGGTGCGTGCTCAAAAATTTTTTACTGATAGAGGTATGCGATCAAAAAAGTTTGGAGACCACTGCCCTAGAGGTTTAAACCTGTACCTTCTTGACTTTGCCACTTACATGGTTAGAAAACTGCCATCTAGTGCACAAAGGAAACAGAATTCCACCCATTGGTACCTATCTTTCCAGTCTGGTCTGACCTAAGATCATTTCCCTACTTCCATTAAACATTTCCCTTTCTGTGCCTTCACAGATCCTACTAGCCTCGTTAGCCGCAACACTGGACTCTGAGTTCATGCTGAGACACTTACCTATTGTGATCCCAAGTCTTCTTCTGGGCTTTCACTTTCCAAGCCCATCTCATCCTGGAGCCATAGCCCATGCTCTTTATTCCCAGCTATATTGCCTTGCATTTGGCTCTATTAAGCAACATGTTGTTGGACTGGGACCATTTAACTGAATTATTTAAATTTTTAATCACTTTGTAACAGTGACCTGTCCACCACAGTATTTACTGTCTCACTATTTTTTCCACCTTCTGCAGACTGTATTAGCAAAAATATTATAGTCAAGGTGGATAAAAATAAATAACATGCAAATAGACTTTATTTACAATATCTTTTATTGAAAGTACAATATGTTTCTTTTTTAAAAGGCACTTAATTAGGTTGCCATAATTTCAAATCTTATTTTAAATAAGTTCTAAATTCTGTAATCTATTAAAGTAATTCAAATGACATTAAAAAAGAGCAGTACATGTTTGCGTCTGAAGTTTTAAAGGACAGTCAGACCACTGAACTGGTAGAAATCATTGGCTAAAGTAGAGGATGCCAGTTTGTTGAAGGGTTTTTGAGAGGAGTAGCACTTTTTGCAAGTTCAGTGAAGGATTGTTTTCCTTTTTATATTTTATTCAAATGTTTTGAGTTCAGTATTTGCTTGTTTTCCTGTCCCAGCCTCTGAATAAAACCAAGGTATGGGAGGGGATCACAGCAAGACATGAAACCAGAAAATGGCAGCTCAGTTCACTAACCCTGACTAATGCTTCCTTTAATGTAGTATTTTTAAATGCAAAACAAGATTTTAGCACAGTTAATTTCTCATGTATCTAGCTGAATTAGGATAGTTTTCATTGAACTATAAAAAAACAATTTAAAAATGCTGGTTTTGTACATTTTTAATGGAATTCCCATCCAAGTAGAGCATGACACATCACAAATAAAATTAGTTTAATTAAAAATGCATTAGCTTCCATTTTATAGCATAATGTAACACTTAAGCATCTGAATAAATGTATGGTAAGCTATAAAAATAAATTAAGTAAATGTGAATAGATATAATGGATGGTCCTAATTAGCAACAGGTACTAAATTAGGTAATGGCTATATTTAGTTGCAAATCAACATGTTTTAATGGTGACCAACCAATAAGAATGAACCTTCCTTTAGGAAAATAACTATAAAGCCCAAATGCAAAACAAGGTTAGGATCAACAACATACATCAATGTTTTCTACTTTCTGATTTGAATCATGACTGATATCAGTTATATAAGTCACTTTGATTTAAAGGAATCCACAATGTTTATATTATCATCTACATTTTTATAAAGATACTGAACAGCATTGGACAAAGAAACAACCTTGGGGATCTTGCTAGTAATGTCCTGTTTCTCCCTTAACAACTGCATTTGAAATTTGTCACTGAGCTGGTTTTGAATCCATTTAGTATGCCTTGCTAATTCCATGTAATGAAAGTTTTTAATCTAGATGTCAATAAGTGCTTTGACAAATCCCTTGAAGAAATCCAGGTCTGCTGCATCAATACAGGTATGCTTTACCAACCAGTCCTGTAATCTTTTCAAAAAAGGCAATGGGTTGGTTAGGCAAGACCAGCTTTCCATTAAACAGAGTTGATTGGAATTAATTATAGTTCTCTGTTAATAGAGTCCAAAATAAACCATTCCATTATTTTTGCTGGAATTGATGTGAAATTAACACCTGCGCTTCCCTTCTGCAGTTCTTAAATATTGGGGTTATATTGACAATCCTCAAATACTTTGGAATTTTTCTAGTTTCCCAAGATTTTTTAAAATCCTGACATGATTGAGAGCGCTCCTTTAAATTACTTTGGCCTGTTGATTTGAAAATGTTGAATTTTAGCAGGTACTACCAGACAATACATTTTGTGTTTCCTAACATATGTACTGGACACATCTGTCTGCAGAACAGAAATACCTTTTCAGTGTTTCTGTCCTCTCGGCATCACTGCCTATGATATTATTGTCTGCATTGAGGAGTGGACCAATGCCTGACCTAAAGTTCTTTTTGTTCCAACTGTTTTTAAAAAATATCTTCTCAAGCCACCTCTGTGTGTACCAGTTCTGGGCCTGACTTTGCATTTTCAGTACCATTGACAATGTGTGAATAGCAAGAGATTCTTCCACCATATGAATTTTTGGAGTGTAGCAACTTCGATCTGCCTCCATTTAGGTGTTCTGGCGGGAGTGTTCAGACCTGCAATGCAGCTTAGCAGACACATTCTTATGCTTAGGTTATGAGTGATTTCAATGATCACATATTTTCTAGGTGGCTAACTCCTGTTTCTCTGCAGGTCCTAATTGTATGTGGACAGCAGATCTTTGAAACTCAATGGCCACTGCCCAGCTCTCACACACATCACAGAAGCATAAAACCTCCAAGGTACAGGATTTGGGACATAATGTTATTAATAATTGTGTTTTTGGCCTTATAGTGCTAAGTCTTGCAGAGCTAGCAACCTGGGTTTGATTACATATCCTAGCCCTCCCTCCCAGGGCAAGCAGTCAGCTCCATGCAGAATGAGAAGAAAGCCTTCTGTCCCTTTCTGCTGATCACACTGTAGCTCTGTTGGGTTTGAAAGCATTTGTCTCCACTTCACTGTAGCCAGGAAAATACAGCATGCATTAGACAACATTGGGCTTTGTGTGTGAATTAGCACCTATATACTAGGTAACAGGTGCTTGGCAAAGAAGATGGAGACTTCTTGGCCATGTACAGAGCCCCATTTGAGGAAGAAAAAAGAGTGAACTGGTCAAGACTCAATTTTAATAAAACTTTTTCCAAGATTTTAAAACTATGTGATATTTAGTTTCATAAGAAACTTAGTTCTTCATGGGGAAAAGTATGTCAGTGCTTACCTCCCACTCCTAACTTACCTCTCACACCTCTTTGTCATGTCGGTTTTTTTGCGTTTATGTGATTTGCACTTAGAAGTCCATAAGGGGCATGCTTCCACAGCTGCATACCTGGCTGGCTGGTACATAGCCTGTTGCAAATTCTTGGTTTTCACATGTATGTCTATAGTGTAGGTGTAATAGAGTCACAAAAGTGCCAGAAATGCCACGTAAACAGCTGAAAAGTGGCCATTTAGGCACAAATGGGTAACAGGATTCCACCCTTAGTCTTAAGGTAAAGACCCAGTGCAATGTGCTAATGTGGAAAAGGATCATGTTTAGATACCTAAATACCATTTAGATGTCTAATAGGTGAAATAGGATCTGCTCCCTTGCATTAGATTATCTTTTGGCCCACTTATTCTACTGGTGTATCAGTGTCACGGATATTCTTTGAAGACCAGAAGAAATAGGAAAGTAACCTCGATTTGACCTCCTTCTTACCCTGCTGAGACTTATCTCTATTTCTGGCCCTGGCACTGATCTAAAACTAATAATACCTTTGTCTTTGCCCTATTTTCAGGAAGCAGTGTTGTTTCCACACACAGTTACCACTAAACAGCAGTCCATGGTTCTGGTGAAAAGGCTTCTGGCCATCTCTGTTTCCTGTATAACATACCTGAGAGGGCTGTTCCCAGAGAGCGCATATGGAACTCGCTATTTAGATGGTAATCTTGGAGTATGTGCTGAATTCACATGTCTAATCATTATATTTATTAATTACAGATTACCCCATGCTCTTCACATGTATAACAAATTCAGTCTTTTGTAGGAAGATTGTTGACTATAGGCCTTATCCAGCAGTCCTAATTCAGACAATTCCTTATGGCAGTGAGGTAGTACAGAAGACAGTCTAGAGCTGTTGGCAACCAACAACCATTTCTATCAGTATTTCCTTTGCTTTAGAATTACATTTATTACTTGGCACTTTCCTAAGAGTTGCCAATGCCAAGTGTTCTAAAACTGAGTGAGTCCCAAAAGTCCATGAAATTGGCTTAAAAAAATCAGTAGATTTAAATAACAGTAATCATTGTTTATATTTGAATTTTATGAGCCACTTTGATTCACATTTTTCAATTTTTTCTTGGTAATCAAGAGGCTAAAAAGTATTTTTTTTAATGAAAACTAAGATATACATGCAAACTCATGACTGGGAGCTATGGCTTTAAGGAAGACACAAGCTTTCTGGAGTCTTGTGATAGAATAACAAGAGCTGAAAACATTCATCTACAACCTTATACAAGATCTGTAAGTGGGAGAAAGGAAGTGAGTCCATACATAAACCCACTTAACATACCATATTATCTTGCAAACCACACTCCCCTAAATAAAACATTCACCTTGTTTTTGAAAGGCAGAATGAATAAAAAAGATCTTTCCTTGAGAGCCTGTGCTGGGGTTGGGGGTGGGGAAATAAAGTGTCTATAAGCCAGTATCTATGGAGCTTTGCATGCAAGACTTGTAGCTTTACTTTTGCTCTCCCCTGCCGAGGCTTAAACAGCAGAAACTGCTGTTACTATATTTCCTCAATTATGAGCAACCCAATTTCAAGCAACTGAATTTTGGAAAAATATGTGTATTATATATATAATATATATATAATATACATGATTGTTTAGTTTATATGTGTGTTGGTGAACAACAAAATCCAGAAGTGACAGTGCTGTTGGGAAGTGCCAGAGTAAGATAGTATTCGGGAAGGCGCTAGTAGGAAAAGAAAAGAAGTTGCTAACTTTTCTAAATGAAGCCATTGCTCCAGTATATTTTTGTGCAGGAGTCCAGAATATCGTGAGAAAATGTCTTTGGTATTTTAAAAGTCAAGTGTAAGTCTGTGTCAGCCCACCTGGGACTCAATGAAAAACAGCAGTTCAGCTCAGGAAGTGCCCAGATAAAACACTTCATATAAAAAGGGAGGATGACTGGTTCAGTTTCTCTGTTTGCCCAACAGTGATAAGCTTTTTAACTGTGCTAACTCTGGTTTTGCAGACCTCTGTCTAAAAATCCTTCGAGAAGATAAAAGCTGTATGGGATCACTGCAGATAGTCAAGTGGTGAGTGAGTAACAATGAAACTAAGACAAGATTATGCTGAATTGCAGGATTTCATCCTCTCATGTGCCCCTGCTTCCTACATCTGAAACCTTCTTCCCCAGTGGTAGAATTGGCTATGCCAGTGCCATTCCCATTGATTTATTATAAATGTTTTATGTATGCTTGATGTAAGCAATATGTTCTCCTAAGAACTTACAGTCTGAAGGCATGGTCCTCTCTCACTGAAGGCATTGACATTAATGTCCTGAAGTATGGGTGCCTGTGAGCAAGCAGTTAAGACCAGGATGAAGCTCAGCATAAAGATTGTGATATTTTTTCCTCAGAGTGTATATTTGCCAGATCCCATTTGTACAGTTCTTTTGATACCTGTACAGTATTTCTCTCCTATGGAAGTTGTACCTAGGTGCCTGGGACAGAACGGTTTAGTTCTTAAATCTGTTCAGGGATAAGAAATGTACTTCAGAACCATGGCACAACTCCTAAGCAGCAGGGAGCTGTTACATAGAACTTAGCCCTTCGAAAGCTCTGTTCTTTGTCCATTTAGCATCAAGGTCTATATTAGAGCCATTTGCAGTTCCCGGGGCCAGTTCTGCACTGGTTCCAGTGTAGTTTAGAGCAGCCATAAGGAGTCAGTCTACCATCTTAAAATAAGGAGTATAGCACCACGTCAACCACATCCTCTGCTTATTAGCTATATCAAGGGAATATCCAGCAGGCTGAATCCATTCGTGCAAAGGGCCAAAACAAGGCCAAAGATTTGACCATTACTACCTGATGTAAATGCTGGCCTGATAATGAGAACCAGAACCTTGGCATATAAACTATGATCACACACCTAGATGGACAGAGAGATGCTTGATTACCATGAAAAGAGCTTTACAAGCCAAAAACATTAGCAGCTTTATACTGCTTCATTCTTGACATATACTCCATCTACTCCATCTCCTGCTCCTAGACTGATATGACCTGGTACCAACTAACATTTTTTTCCTGGCAGGATTCAAGGTTGTTTTGATGCCTTAGAAAAGAACTATGTAAGTTTTTATTTAATATTTTTAATACAGTGTTGGTTTTTGATCTGCTGTGTTCATTCCTGGGTATTTATTTCTGATGTGTATTCTGCTGTGATCTCAATGAAGAAGCTCATACAGTACAAGTATACAGTAGAGATCTGATCTGTGAGAAAGCGATGTGGCTGTTTCTGGCTCCCTCTGCTTCAGAATTAATTGTTATTAATGTCTAGACCTATTTGTTAAAAATGGTTAGTTTGCAATTTGGGAGGTTCTCTTCAGAGTTCTGAATTTTTCATTCTTTAATGTGTGGATACAAGTTCTGTCAGAGCAAATATTTCTTGCCCTTTTTTCATGTGCCAAGTTCTTAAATGTTTACGCATTCCTTCTTCCTCTTCTTCCCTTGCTTGCCCTCCTTTCTCTTGTTCTTCCACCATCTCTAGCTTTCTCAGTTCTTCCTCTTGAGTTTGGATTTTCTTCTTTTTCTGAATTTTAAGGCTTATTTAACCAGTTTCAGAACCACTGCAAACTGTCAAGTGATCCAAGCTCTCACGTATTCTAACACAAAACCTGACCTCCATATACAATGTGCTGATTGCTTTTATTTATATCAGTACTATTCATCAGGTTGACTTTCATCTACTTCAGAATGATTCTCATCGGTATCAGATGAACTGTTCATCAGCAGGGCTGTTGAGATTATTGCTTGTTAATGGCAATGCTATTGACATTGGCATCATTTGAAATACTGTGAACTCTAGCTCTAGCTAACTGGCAATTCTAGTAGTCATCTTTAAAGAGATTATGATCAAAGTCAAAGGTCTTTCTGACCTTAGCAGCCCGTAGGGCTAGTGTGGTAAAGGATCAGTACTCTCTGCAATCAACAGTACACCAGGGCATAGTATGGCCAGTGTCACGTCATTGACTAAACTTAAAGCAGCATCTAAATCAATTGGGAGCATCTTTGGCACAAGTCTGGAGCCAAGGCTCAAACATTGTGTCTGGAGCTATAGGAAGATGCCTTAACTGCTCAGCCACTGAACCTTACATGTAGATAGAGGAGTGTCCATTATTGATAAGAGCTACTCCTCATACTCCAGATCATATAGGAATCAATATTGATGAGAGTTAGGGAAAAAAATCTTCCCTTTGAGCAAGTGTTCCATAATTGTCAACTGTGGAATTTCTTCTGAAGCACCTGGGGCTCATCAGCATGAGAGAGAAGATCCTGAGCTGGACAGATCCAGGAAAGTGTTTCCTTTGCTTTACTAATAAAGTGGGCTAGTGCATTCTCTAGCCAAAACTTCCAAGTGGCTTTCAAGTGCAGCCTCAAGTGGAGTCCCTTGCTGGAGTGCAGTCTGCAGGTATAGATGGCTACAAGGAGGTTCATGTCTGAGGGCAAAGGCTGAATGAAACCTCCTAGCTAAATGGAAGGAGAGGGAAAGTCTCAGAATGAGGTTCACAATGTAAATAGGAATCTGATATTGGACTTGAATGAAACTGGTGTAAACTTAGCTTGGTGGCTTTGTTCAGAGGGAACACTGGGAACCAGGTCTGAATATGCAGACATTTTATAGGCAGACAAGGTTAGTTGCTTTGGAAAATGTGCATTAAATGAACTGGCCACTGGGTGTCATTGATGTTACATCAAGATATATTTGAACTGGCAAGGATCTGTGTGAAATATTGACTGGCAAACTGTGGAATGCATGTATTTTTTCATTTCAGTAGATTTTGACAAGGCTTATTTTCTCTTCCAGTTGCATATGGCTGTCCTGGCAGTAAGTCATCTATTAAGTCAATACAAAATGTTTTCCTACTTCCTTTTTCCCCCTGCCACAGTGTTTAGTTGAGTGTCAAACCAAGACCCCATATGACATCTGTCTGTTAGTAGGGGGGATTAAAGTATTCAAGGAAGTAGTGTGAAGCAAAAGCTTCATTTAATAGGATGAACACTATCTTAGGCTGCATGAGAAGGCTGGCTGAGTACATAAGGGCTTGCAGCTTTTGTTTCCATTTCTGATGCACAAAATGCAGCTTTATATTACTAGACACTAAATGAAAGTGCTGCCATATGCTTTATATCATGACAACCTGCTGGGCTTCTGTCATCACTTAAACCAGAAACAAGCTACTGCCCCTCTCCCTTTCCTTGTTCCTCTCTTCAGTTGCCTATTTGTTACCACTGGCAAGACAAACTTTTGTCACAAACTCTGTAGCCCTTAGGTTTCTAGCTAATACCATCAGTATTTCTGAGATTGTACACCAGCGCCTGTACTGCCAGTTTCAGACACATTCCTTTGAAAAGACACTGTAGGTATTCTAGACTCTAGGGCCCTTCCACATTGTACATGGTGCTCATTTTCTTCCTTGCCCTGCAGCAGCTTGCATTTCCTGAAGAAGGCTGCAGCATGAATATGGCTTTGCTTAGATCCAATATGCAGACTTGACTGTCTATGTAGCTAAAGCACAATAAGGGTTCGTTTATTGCATTACTTTTCACTGCTATATTTTAATAAAGAGAAAGATGCATTCTGTCTGCTTTCTCAACAGATTTACACTAATCCCAAGGAAACAGAGGTAAGGAAATGTCTTACAATCTGTTCTGAGCAGGTCATGATTGCATGGGTGAGTTGTACTGAGTTCAAAATGGACTTCTAAGGTTAAATCCAGCCTTGACTTGACAGGGCTACTTGGTAGAGGGAAGAGACACAAGATGCCAGGTTCCCTGCTCCTTTCACCCATGCAGGCTGCTTCAGAATCTAGGCAGAATACTGATAAAGTGGTCTTGTTGGGCATATGTCACGGTCTTGTCAATTGTAGCAGGTGGTGCTTCTTGGGCCTTAAGAGGGGATGTTAAGAGGAAAAAGGGATATGATCAGGACCTTGCTCCCCTCTGCAGATGACTAGAAGCAGAAGCTGACAATAATGCACATACCTTCTTAATGCACCACCTTTTCAATGTCATTGTGAAAGGTAAAATTTGTTTATGTGCATGGAGGTTGGGTGAGTCTTTTGAGCTACTTCAGGCCTGGGACATAAGTGGTGTGCAAAGTGGTGGATTACATACTGCAGCAGGTACCCCTTGAGCCATTTTTCTGCATCTGCCCTGTGCAGACAGATGCCTGTGGAATCTCTGCTTCCCCAGTACAGTTCTGCTGCCTCCATGGAAGAGCAACAATGCAGCTCATAAAAGAGCAAGACTTTAGTCCATGGCTAAGGCTGCCAAGGCTGGTTAAATGTCCAAACTACAAGACAAATGTTAAAGTCCCTTTGAATGTTACTTGGAGGTGACACCTAAATTCCTTTTGGTCTCTTTAGTTCATCTTAGATTTATAAAAATCATAAACTTTGAATTGGACTAGGAGGCCTGGATAGATCCTTATTCCTATGTTGAGTTTTCAGTTGTAATTCACGGTAGTTTTCTTCCTCCAAAACCATATTCAAATCTATTTTCTTTAAATGTATCATAACTAGAACAAGTTGAAGAATGAATTCTTATATCTCTCAGAAAAGACTGGTGAAATATCAGAAACAGATGTTTTCATTCTGAAATGTCACCACTAAGTTTTATTGGAGTTCAGGTCTCTGATGCTCCCATTCACCACCATAGAAAGGTAGTTAGCCATGTTAGTCCAAAGTTGGGCAAAAGGCAGGGTAGGGCAGTGGCTCTCTGAGCCTGTTAGGGTCTAAGGTACCACCTGCATTCACCACTCTGCCTGGTAGGACTGTACCTCCCTCACTGTACCATAATCCCCTCCTTTGTAAAATAAGGCATGTGTTATGACAGTTATGTGACCATAGTGCATCATTTATAGGCTGACTGTAGCCAACTCATAAGAAAATATAGGCTGACTGAAATACAACTCCCATGAGACATGGCAGCAGTGCTTCAGACCAGATTTTTTTTCTGTTTTAAGTCATTCAGGTTTTCAACCCAAAAATTGGAATATTTGTAAAAAAAATTCCTAAAAGTTTGATTGAACTAAAAATTTCCAGTTTTCCACTGACAAACCATAGTGACAGAAAATAGGAACATCACCAGTGAGAGTTTTAGTTAAGAAGTCACATGCTTGTCTATAGTAAGGGCTTCTGCTTTTTCTCCCAAAACTACCTTTTGACTCTGGAATTCATTGTTTTTCTTCTTAGCCCCAAACTCAGTTTGTATTTGCTTTTTTAAGAACACTTGATAACAATCAGTGCAGAGTGTTTTTGAGTTCAGACCAGAACCTGGTTAGTAACTTTACCTGCTGGATGGGAATAGGAATGAGAAAGTATAGCTGTCCCTGTGTTAACTGAATATTTGTTGGGCTTGCTGTGGTGGCATATTCCTGCAAGATCTGTTTTTTCTGCTCCCTTTGTGATCTCTGTAGAGAGTGACTGAGCTGTATCAGTTCAAATTCAAGTACACAAAGGGCAGACCACAGATGGACATCATAAGGTAATTGCCTTGTTTTATATCTGCAACCCTGCCCCCAGCAAGAAACATGTTTCATTGAAGCATTTATTAAAGAGGAAACTGACTTTAAAGATACCACTGTAGGGGTGACATATGTAGATATTTTCTAAGTCACAGGGGAAATCAATGGGATTTAGGCTTCTGTGCCACTTAGGCACTTTTGACAATTTTGGGTGTTTATACACATGCTCCAGGAGTGGGGGGAATGAGCAGGGTGGGGGAGGCGCTTTAATTAGAGTAGCTCTGAGAGCCACTTTAATTAAAGCACCTGGAGCATCATATCTATCAGCGTCCCTGCACTGAAAAATGGCAGCGGGGGTGCTTTAAATAAATCTTGTCAAATAAGCTTTAGGTAAAGTGTCCCACCGCCATTTTTCAGCACAGGGACACTGATACACACAATGCTGGAATCGGCTGGAGCACTGTAATTACCATAGTCCAGCAGACTCAATTAATTGAGCCTGCTCTGATGCACAGTAACTACAGCTCATCGGAGCAGCCTTGCTACACATATATAAGCACCCTGTGTTCCTGGACTAGCTTTGCTTCTTAGGAATCAAAAAGAGACCATTCACTTAAAACTGCAAGATGGACTTGCAGTAGTCTCTGTGATGAATCCTCTGTGTGTGTGATTCTCACCCAATCTCCTCATTCATTTAAGGAAAATCATTCAGAAGTTCATCCATCAGGTGAAAGGCACTTTTGTTGTAGCTGTTTTTGTTCAGTCAGTCATTTCAGACAAGTGAGTCATGACACTTGTATAATATAGTTTATGGCCCCAGTCACAAGGTTTGTACCACTTAGCTCAAGACTGGTTGTTTTTTTCATGCTATCTGTCACTGTGACTCTGTCACTTCCATGTTATGTGAAAGCTGCATAAAAGCACTGTTCCTATAATATGATCTGGCAAGATACATCACTGGGTGCATCATGTTTTTTGTTAGGTCTTAGAGTTAATGACTATAGGAAATGATTCTGTTGTTCTTTTTGTGTTGGCTACAGCAACAAAATGGCCTCTGTGAGTGGGGTATGCAGTAGGGAGATTAAGAAAGCCAGTGTTCTCTTGATCCGTAAACTGTACCTCTTAATGCAGAACCTCGAACCCCTTCCCAATGATATTACCCTGACCATGAAACTCTTCTACTATAATGATGGTAAGCAGAAAACAGAATGTGATGTAGATAAAATTTTCCTTCCTGTTAATTTCCATGAGCATCATAAAAGAGAGAACAAAGATAAAAAGTGTTAGAATTTAGTGATGAGATGCCATGCAAATATAGTGCCATTCCATATGAAAAAGTCATGGCATGTACCTTTTAATAAAGGGCCCAGCATCCCTATAAGAAGCAGTATAATGCAGAAGAGACAAATCTTTTCTCTTTATGCGGTGTGAGGAGCAAAGGTTCTAGGTTAGTTTAATTTAACTCTAGAAAATGAATGTATAAGTGGCATCATAGAATTCAAAATTTATTTCTCAGTGATTCCAGATCAAAGGCACTCAGGACATAGATTTTATGGCCAGAAGGGATCATTATCATCATCTAGTCTGAGTCCATCTATTCTTTTATAACAAACCTAGGGACAGAATTTCTACCATTTCTGTAAGGGATTAACTGGAATATGAGCCTATGACAAATTGCACAACAGGCAGGAAGTTCCCCACAGATCGTTAAATCACTGCAAGTTTGCAAGTGAAGGAATTAATTTCCTTTGACCCAACTCACAAACTCAGTCTGTGATCTGAGGTTATACTGGGCTTCTTCTTTCTCAACCAGAATCTTAATTCTGCCAACCTGTTGCTGCCCAGGTATAACTCTGTGATCTCACTGCCTTTTGTAGTGTTGTTCCAGCTATGGTGGCTAAGGGAATACACAAAAAACAAGATTTATGAGGTGAAATACTTTTTATTGAACTAACTTTGTGGTTGGGAGAGACATTAGGCAAGCTTATGGGCACAAAATACCCTTCCTTGCATTCCTAGCTGCTTGTCCACATTTGTTTTCAGATTTGGGGAAAGGCATGTTGTGCCTGAAAGGCTGTCTAACATCTCTCCCAACTACAAAGTTGGTGCAATAAAAGTGATTGCCTCACCTCACAAATCTGGCTTTTCAGGTGGGTTAGATAGATATAATCTAGAGTAGAATATGACAACTGAGTTTATACAAGTATAGCTGGGAGGGATGGGACTACAGAAAGACTCATGTAGGATTTTCCAGCTGTTTGACCTCCAAAATCTGTATTCGTCAGGGGGAGGGGTATCCTTTGCACTTTACCCCCATTATGAATGTAAACATCTACACAATCTTAATTGACCTTTACACTTGCAGACAGATGAGATAAACCCTTTCACTGGGATAACTTGCCCAATCCAGTATAGAACGGTCCCTGAAAAAATCAGGGGTAAAACAACATTGGTGTAACTTGCATTGTTGTACAGTTGTGTGGCTGTAATTACGCCAAGGTATTCATTAGCTCAAAGCAAACAGACTATTACTGGCTCCCCTACTAACTACAGGCTTCTATCCTTGGGTAGCTTGCCCCTCTGTCCACACCACAATCCCATGTAATTTACATCAGTATGCAAAACAGTGTAAATTACACTGATGTAAATTTGTTGTGGGCCCATACCTCTGGAACATAGTCCCTTTGACAGTTAAGGACTCTCATCTTTTCTGTGCAGTAACTCCTGATGATTACCAGCCCCATGGCTTTAAGGAAGGCAGTAGCCCAGATAACCTGCTGTTTGATGGTGATCCTGTCAACTTGAAAGTAGGATCTGTCTCCACTGGGTTTCATAACCTAAAAGTGAGAGTAACAACTGAGAATAAGAGGATGAGGGCATTGGGAAGCAACCTGGTCCAGGAGAATGGCCCAACTGAGATTTCCTATCAAGGGCTAGATTGTGATGAAGAGGAAGAAGAAGGTAGTACAAAGGTAAGGAAATGACTTGAGTCACTTTGCTGCACTCTCACTGTGGGGAATAAGGTATTTCTTCATCTTACTCTTCAAGGAGACATTTTACTAGAATACCAGTCTTAACATGGTCTAAATGAGTGTTTCATTTAGTGATATGCCAGAGGTACTGTTGATTCCTAAGCAAGGGATTAGAAATCAGTGGACCTAAAGTCATATTCCTAGAGCTACAACTGATTTAATGAATCATCTTGGGCAGTATGTCCCCTCTGTATCTCAGTTTACCCAGCTGTGCAGCGGGACTAGTGACGCTGATTCTTTTTTGTAAAAGAGTCAAGAAAGCTCTCTGCAGGTGGAGATGGTGGCACTGTTGTTATGTCTTGTGCTTAGCAGTGATGCTTTGGACATGGAGTAATTAGTCATTTTTATAGCAGAACTGAGTGTCCTGACAAGGTGAGATATATTGGAATAGGTGCAGCAGAATGGTTTTTCCCTTTAGTAGCTATGCCAGGAAGCATCCCAGCAACTAAGACAAGAGAGAGCACAAGTGAGAAAAATAATAATCTCTTCAAAATGATGCTATCCTATCCATACCAACTCTGGCATGTGGGGCAGGAACCAAAATGGTAGCCTGGTTCAGTGTCTGCAACCAGTGGAGGAAGAGAAGTGGTTATCCAGTTTGTTTTAAACTAGTTAGCTGTGGTACCAGCCGTGGTCTACCTACAGCAACTTGGAACATGATACAGGTTGCAAGGCCTGTCTGAGCAGCTGAATAAGCACTCAGGCAGTTAGGCCATAGGGAACTCCAGGCTTTTGTTTCTAGATTGCAACTGATTCCTGAGCTCTCTGTTTTAAGCTAGTTCAGATATGTATCCATTCTGCACTGCAGTTATTGCTCTAATAGCAGCGTAACACACACACACACACACACACACACACTCTTACAAAACAGAGGAATGTCCAGATTGTGATGCATTTCCATTGCATGGCATTGTTTAGCAGAATGACCAAAGATATGGAGCCATGTTGTTAAGAATTTTCTGAAGTGTCTCGGTACATTCTACGCCAATCTCTAGAAGTCTGGTTGTAAGTATGGTGGCAGGAACTGCTGGGAGCTGAGGAGTTAGTTAACCAAGTTGCTGGGGATACAGCAGTTGAACGTCAGGTCAATAGTGCCTGTAGCAGGATGGGCCCTGGGGCAGCCGTGGAGCCCCCTAGGACCACCTTAATCCTCCCCTCACTCCCAGTCCTCCCCTGTTTATCTTTCCTGCCATGCCTTTATGTTTCTTTGTTATTAATTGAGAGGCTGCCCCTGAGTCCTGGAGTGCTCTCACTGTCCTCTATTGATCTAACTGGCCCCTAGGGTCTCCGGGTCCTTGACTCACTAACTCCATGCTACTCTGTTCTCCACAGGCGTCTCTCTTCACCCTGGCAGACATACTAGTGCCTAGCTGGCACTGTGAGCCAGTGGTCACCACCTATGGCCCAAATGGCCCCTATTTAAGACTAATGGCTCTTCACTGTGGCTCCTTGATGCCCCCATAACCATGCCCATACCTCACAGATGTCACTCAGTCACTGTTTGCCTTCCTATATAGGCTTCGGCCTTTATAGCCCTGACCTACAGGTAACTCTGCCTGTTGACTGGTGGCTTATGACCCCTGGCTTTGGCCTGGCCTTTCCAGTCTCAGTGTCTTGTCAGCCCCTGACTGCCCCTGTTGCCCCCTCTGGGCTCAGGCTCCAGCCCTCTCAGCCTCAGGCTGCCTGCACCTTGTGCCCCTGCCAGGGCTCAAACCTAGCATGCCGGTCAGACACCCCAGTGGCCTCCTTTCCATCTCTTACAGCCACAGCCAGTCCTCCAGTTTAACTCTAAAAAAAAAAAAAAATTCAAGCAACTTTAAACTAAAAGTGTCCCCTCTGGGTCATTGTACCACTGCTGGGCTGTCTTTCCACTCTGTGGCTCCCTTTGTCCTGGGAGTACCTGCCATGGCCTGCAGCTCCCATTCCTCACCAGCCTTAACTGGCAGGAGCTCCTCTTTGCAGAGTATAGGGCCATATTGCCCCCCTCTGCCTTGGGGCCCCAGGCTTATATCCCCTGGCTCGTCCCCTTTTGGTCAGGTGCTCTTCTGACCAGCCACAGGTGTGTCCCCTCATCTTAATAAGCAGCTTATTGTGACCAGGCTGTGTGGAGAAATGACCCCCCAGTCTGTCTCTGCTGTAATGCAGCAGCCTAAACCCTCCCCCTCTGGTTACAAACTCTGGCTGCTGGATTCACCTGGTCACCTAGGTAACAGGGTGGTACATTCCATGGGGAGGGGGGAGCTCTCTCTTTCATTGTTCAAGAGTTCCCGCCACTGTAGGTCATGTGACTGGTCCTCTCACCTGGAAAGGTGATGTCAGTTGGAAGCACCAGTCAACAGCCAATGGGTCTGCTTCTGATGGGAACTGAGTGATGAAGTCACAACAGTGGTATAAAACAGCCCCTCCACGACAAAGTAGGAGGAGAAATGTTGGGACATGTACACAGAAATTTGGACCTTTGCAGCTCTCTTTCTCTCTCAGGATTCAGAAGTGAGTAACTTACCAGAAATGTAACTAGAAATGTAGTTCACAGTAACCTAGAAGCAGATCCAATGGCTATCAAGCCGGTTCTGTTTGCTCAGGGTTATTCTGTTGCTACTTCTCTGACTTGTACCCCTCCCCACGCCTACCCTCTCTACCCAATAAAGCTATCCACTATAACAAGCTTTGTGGTACATGCTTGAGAGGGTTTGGGCATGCCTTTATGCTCCCATTGCTTGGCTGACTAAGGGAGGCTTCTTTCTTGGCTTCAGATTAAAGGAAGCACTCCAAGATTTCACAGTGGGTCAAGCACCCTACAAGGCCTGTGTACCCTGGGCGGCACAGAGTCGAGACAAAGCCCAGACCCCAGGTGGTGACAGCAGTTACTCTAGGCTTATGTGTGTGCTCCAGGAAGGGGGTTGGCCCGAAGTTGGTGCCCCTGGGGAGGCATCCAAAGCTTGGTTTTTGGCTCAGGGCAGGAGCACCCCCTACTGGCCCACCACAGGCTACAGTAGCTCCTTTGCTGCCTTCCCTCCTACAGCTAACTCTTCTTCAACTACCTAGGGCTCTTTCTGCCGCAGTCTCTTTTTCAAAATAACAAGAGCCCCTGGCTCCCTGTTACAGGACCCAACAGTCGAAGATAGGAAAGTGGGGTTGGGAAAGGACTGAAAGTATCTGAGTTCAGGCTGAATATACTTCAGTGCAAGATCTTCGGCACAGGATTTTACTGTGGGATTTCTGTCAGCCTATTAAGAGACTGTATCATTTGCTTTTCAGAACAACCCTTTGCCTGTCAGGGTAGAGTCAAGTAAACATGGGAAGAGCATAAGTGACACAAATTCAGGCTGGCAAACTGAAGTGTTTAGTCTTCACTCTCAAAACACAGGTAAAGGTCTTGCTTTAAAAAGAAAAGGCGTCTATGTTCATGTTGAGCGACTGCCTTAATTATACAATGCATGTGTTTTTAAGCTTAACCATGGATCAGCTAAATATTTCTAGCTTCTTCTGACTTCAGAAAAAGTTATATTGGATTCATTAAGGGGATGATAACAGTGGGCCTTAAGGTGTGTGTGTGTGGTGGGGGGGTTGTTAAATCAATATTTTTCCACTTCATCTCAGGAAATTTGTCTAATATACAGAAAATAGGTATTTATTCAATGCTGAACCATGTTACTTCTGTTTCTAATTATCCTGTTGTCCTTTGGATATTGAAAAGCAGCCTTTACAAATGCATGTTATATGTTCAAGCTAAACAAATGTAAAATAATCACCTGTTTATCCCTTTCAAAAAGCCAGTTTCGGATACTGCAAGGTTACCCATAACTTTTCAGGCCTGTGAAATGACACCGGTTAGTGACAGTTCAGTTAATAACATCCTAATTGCTTATAAAAATGGAGTTTGACTCTAAACTTTACAGGTATATGTATATGTAAGCAATGAGTTGCACATTTAGATGAGTCTCTGCCTTGACATCTTTGTTTCCAGAAATAGCACTAAAACTGGAGTTTTATCTGAAAATGACACAGGCTCAATGCCAACATGAAATTTAGCTCTGTCCAGTGCTACCATGCTTCTAGATATTGTCTTAATGAAATGGTACCCTACACTTGAAGGTATATATTTCTGACATTACACTGTTTACATTTCAGTTAAAAAAGACAACATGGAAGTGATGGAGACAGGCAGAGTGTCCATTAGTAAAGCATCTCGCCAGGTGAGCATCATTTTGATTAGCTTCTGTTCAGCTTTAGCAGACTTCCAAAGAGCTGGAATCCATTGCCATCTGTTTGTATCTTCGCCAAGAGATTAGAAGGATTAAAAAAAGGCTTAGATATGAATAATAGAATACACACAGTTATGTTAGGATGGTAACATGTAGAAGATTAAAACTCTTGTGGCAAGGGTCCCTGATAGATTGGGTTAGGAAGAAACTTCTGTTTTACCAGGCTACTCCATAACTGTCCACTACAAGAGTTTCACACATTTCTCTGGAGCTTCCAATACTAGCAGTTCTAAAAAAAGGATGCTATTGCATCATTGGCCTCATTTGGCTTCAGTCTGTCTGTGCATTGAGAGCAGTGATGACTATGGGCACCACCGCATCTGGTGTTTGGTGCTTAGAGATTGTCACTTTAATTTCTGGCTAATGCCCTCATGGCAATAATTAAATTAACGTGCCATTAAGAGATG